TTGTAAATGTATAATTTATCTTTGAACATCAGGACACGTTGCTAATCAAACATGGCTAAGCTCTAACGTTTATTAGAATGTAAGTTGCGTGTGACTGTGCTCAAAAGGTGTTCAGTTCTGTATCTTCAAACTTGGCTAAGCAATCTTTGAGTAACCCATGAGCTAGCTGTGTTAGCATGTTCTCCAGTGATGCCACCTGGGCAGAGGTCAGTCTCCCAAACATTAAGATTGAGTCTGAAGTTAAGCTCCAGTTCAAGCTTCATGGTGGGAACTTATAAACGATATTTTGACAATTTTGGTGTCTCCTGTCGACGAAGCAGTACCGAATATATCTCCTCTCACTCATTGTAACTCTTTAAAGTGTCACACACTTGACAAAGGTTCAGAGGAACCAAAAAGTTGTGATTTTTTTTATTGGTGATGTGGAGAAAGAGTTATGTTGGAATTTTTTTCAATGTGAGAATCTTTGATGTGAAAAAAGAAGGGAAAATAACAGCAGCATGCTTTTAATTTCCTTGACTGACATAAAGGTGGTGGCAGTGATTAGTATTGAAAATAAACAATAGACTACAAATTGTCCGTTTTCTCACTTATGGTCCTGTTTGCTTTTGTCCCTCGTATAGAGGCATAAATATACAGTCTGTTTCATAATCAGCTACAACTCCCCACAGGAGCTTTTAGCTTTTTTGGAAAGAGTCGGCTGTCACAAGCTATTGTTGTTTATTGACTTGGAGTACTAGCTTTGTTTCCAATGAACAACTATGAGGGCTGAAGTCTATTTTTGTTGACAGGGTAGCCGTTACTAAACATTTGCAGATATGGCTTATAAAAGAGTGATTGATAACTAACTTGCCATCTCTAAAAATATCCCATGTGCTCCAGTATTAAAATGACCAATATCACTTCCAGTTTTAAAGTAATATCTATCCCATGTCCAAATGCAAGCTCCAAAATTAAAAACCATCCTTTGTTCAGATCTGCGTGAGCATAGAACTGTCCTATTAGAGACACACAGCAGCCATAACAACAATCTGTTCATCTGAGGCTATGTTGGGGTGCATTCATTCATCATATCATCGTCCAAATGTCTTTCATCTTGATTGTTTTTATTGCAGAAAAAAACATTTGAGTCGTAGGATCTCACTGTGTTTATTGTGCGGAAAATCGTTCTTCAGATATATGAATGTAATTCATCAAAATGAAATCGATAGAAAATATTATCGCTTTCAAGACGTCTGTGTGCATGCAGTGAAACATGCACGCAACTGTCATCGGCAGAAGACGACCAATCAATAGGCCTCTATTCATGCATGGCACATTTCACACAAGAACCAATTCAGACAGTGCTTTATAGTATTGACAGTATTGTCTCAGGGTCCCTTGCAATACCACAACACGGTGAAATCCATTTTCCCCTCACATAACGAGCTGTCATTTTCTGGTTGGAATGAGCTCAATCGTCTCCGCATACAAAGCAGGCAGATTTAGCCGCAGAATGATAATAACAATAGCACAATAGTGATTGCTATAATTCCACAGTGGCATCGCTCATATCACACAATGATGATTAGTGCAGCAGCCTCAGAAAGCATTGCCCATTTTAAAACATCTGCGATGTAATGACGGACGGAGCCGTGCATTGTTGCTGAGTCAGCACGTGTTGCTACAGATACTCTGATAAAATCCTTTTTCTCCCCCACCCCTGTCTTTAACAAGGTGAAAGGAGTTGGTGCTCTCTGCATACAAAGCAGGCTGATCTGCTTCATGACAATAATGATAACATGATGGTGATTAGTGTTATACTGGAGGGATATTACCAACAGTGAATGATAATGATTACTTAGAGGGCTCTGCTGATGATGAAGGTGTTTGTGGCCTTGACAGTTGAGCTGATGTTAAACGTGCTATAAATTTCACTGTACTGTTGCTTCTTCCAAATGATTAAGGGGGGAAAACACACATCTTGGCTTTCCAAAATTATTCTTGATTGAAATGAGCAGTAATCAAAATATTGCCTACAAGCACCTGCGGACATTTGTCATGAATAAGGGAATGATATGGAGACACCAAATCCATTGTCTGTTCCAGGATAAAAAACACTTTGAGCATTTCAGCATCATGACTCTGCAAGGAATGACTCGAGTTCAGAACTTGTCTAAAGTGGCCATTGGAAGAATTGCGGTTGATTAGGATAAAGACTAAGGTTGGTTTCACTTGAGGGACCCAGGCCTGGATCTGAGTATGCTTGACCCCAAAGTCCCTTTCATTTAATTAGTGCAAACACAAACGTACCGTACTCATTATGGTACTCGGGGGTACTGCTTGAAGAGGTGGTCTTGGGCACGATTCATGTTTACTTGAGATGTGAACGCAACCGTGCTCAAACAATGAAGTGGATCGCAAAACGAAGTGATTCAAAACCTCTCTTACCGCACCAAAAACCATTGAATCCTCGCAGCAAGGGCATAGTTCACCCTCGAAGCTGAATGGTAGACGTGGACGCAGTAAGATCGTCGTTGTTGGCGTCTCAGAAATAACAAAAACATCCACAGTAAGCAGGATGGATTTAGACTCAGAGTGGTTGCTGTATCGGACTGTTTATTTACACAATAGCGCGAGTACGTGTTGTGTGTTGATGTTACTGATGTGAACGCAGACATTCTGGGGGTATCGGAGGGGGGAGCTATCATGCTCGGGCATGGTACAAAACAATCGTGCCTCATGTGAAAACGGCCAAAAATAAAAAAATGTAAAAAACAGCTACGTTTTTAGTTCACCAAATGTATTAGAGATTTCTAAGAATGTTCCAGTCATCTAAAAGCACTGAGATTTTGCAACTCTCACATTCCATTATTAAACATTTCAAACTTTTTTTTTTTTTAAATGTTACAACTTTGGTCAGAGAAAAAACATACAGCAGATATTACATGTCTTATATTCTAAAGAGCTCCGTCTGATCTACAAAAAAGCCAGGGAGGTTAATTATCACAGAGATTCAGTCCTCCCAGCTGCGTGATCTCCCACTGCACATTTATAAAGATCTGGATAAAAAGAAATGTGGCACAGAAGATAACTGCACTTTTTTGGCCTTTTGATATTTAGCCATTAGAACGTTATGAAATATCTCCCTCGTCAGTACTTTTTCCTCATCTCTTCACTGATGTAGCATCACACCCACATAATGACTACATGGAAGGGAATATATTCTTTCAGAAAGTCTTGTGTTTCTAGACGGCCTTCTTCTCTGTTTTTTTTTTAACTGTTTTTAACCCGCCAAAGGTTTTCACAAATCCCTTTTTCTATTTCCAGTAATAACCTGTTTCACAGTCACACTGGGGAGCTGCTCTGTAAAAACCATTCAGCACCACCACCATGGCCCCTGAGCCCCTCCACTGGGACAGGACAGGGTTAAGTAGCTTGCTCGGGGGCTTCTCACTGGTAGTTACAGATGCAGGAGTGAGCATGTCCTGTTCATTTGTCTGCCCAGATAACACCTCAGGTGATCTGGGGAAGCCATGGAAACATGAAGCCAATGGTTTCCATAACCAATGTCTGCTTATCTAACCCTCTTATCGAGCCATGACCCAGACAATTATTTTAATGCAACTGGTTCAGATTTGTCTGTGTATTTTCAGAGGTGAAAAAAAATCTGTATCAAGCCCAATGCTTTTCTCAAGCTTCCTTTAGCACAATTTATCTCTACTCCAATTTGAAGTTCCAAGGTCTGTGTGCCATGCAAGCAGAAACACTCCACATCTCATGATAAATAGACAGAAGAGGAGGAGGCACCTTGGACTTCAATACTTTGGTTTTAGAAATTGCTAAAGTAAAGTGGCTCAGTGAAAGTTCTCACAATTTTAGAGTTTAACTTTGCAATGCAAGAGGCAATTTAAAATGTTTTCTTGTAGTTCCTGGAAAACATCGCAGATGTATTGTTTAAATCAGGCTTTGGATTTAGAGAAAAAATATTTTTATTATAAGATATTTTCTCATGCTTGTCTCAATCAGGATTCACTGGCCGAAAATGAGGTGGTACCTTTCTTATCATGTGCTCACTTGTGCATAATGTATGTACTGTGCAAACTGGCTTTACTAAACTGTCTTTGACAGCGACATATTTTAGAATTTCAAATATTGTCTATCTCACTAAAGCCTTTTCAAAAGAAAACAAATATAGGTTTGTCCCGTATTTTCCCTGTAAGCCCTTAGGTACGTTACCTTAGACCAGCAGTATGCACATTAAATGAACCCGGAATTTCTGAATCTGAACTGAATTTAAGATTAAAAAAAAACAAGACAGCTTCCTAACAATCAATAATAAAGACATTTTTGTCTTAGGGTGAGCACGATTTCTTGTTAGGATGTGATAGATGCGGTAATAAACCGTATACCCAGGAACCTGCCTTGTGAATTAAGAGCAGTACTGTACCACATAAATTAAATCTCTTTATTTAGTATTTATCCATGACTCACCACAGTCATGCAGTACGACAGCCTAACAGTTTTGATATGAGAGAGTGCAATGGACTACATTTGAGGAGACAGTGGGTGCAAAATAAAAAGTGTTTGAGAGAACCAAAATCTGTACTGGATGGCTGTCAGCCTGCTGCTGTCTCTGTGAATGTAGTTCTAGCATTGCTGAAAACAATTTTTAAACTCAATATTTTGTATCGATGCATGAGAACTCTGAGAGTGAGAAATGTTTTTAGAGGTTGTAGAGGTTTGTTTGTGAAGTTGCAAATGTGTAAATTTGCACATGTATCTATTTTGAGTATTCTCAAAAATCGGATTTTAACGCATTACATATTTATAAGTTTGCTTCTACTATACTACAAATTTTCTTCCACATCCTGCGGAATTATATACAAAACAGTATGGCATATTACACTCGATATCTAATTATATCATTTAATATATTGTGCCCTTGAACCATTTCCTTCTTAGTAATTGGTAGTATTTACACATCGTTAATCTGTGTTTCCTTTTCTCTTTTTTTTCAGGCAGATCTGTGTCATCTTGCAGAGGATTTAACTATCTACACATCCAACACCAGTAATGAGCTAAAGGTGCGTTCTGACATTTTTGTCTCATCTTTGTGCAAGTGGAATCAAAAGATCTGTAAATTGGCATCGACAGTCCAACCCCCACTAGCCTGTTTAGCATTCTGTTAAACCAGCTCCCACTCTTTCAGCAGAGAGAAATTGAGAGTGATGGGTGAAAGCACACTTCGAGTTTCAGACTCTATCATTTATGTTTTCATTATATTATCATGTTTATTATCATATTAGATTGTGTGTTTTTCCTTCCCTTCCTTCTTTATAAAGCCATTTTCCTGTCTTTGCCTCTCTCAGTAATGATCTCTGTCCTTCACAGTTAATAGAAATGATTCTCAGTTGTTTAGCTTGTCTCTGCCTACAGCGGTTTGTTAAAGAGGACTTGTAAAATTGCATATTAAATATGATCTCATGGCTGAAAATGTGGCTTACAATGCATTTGCCCTCTGGGCACATGTTCCCAAAGTCACCGTATCGTGCACCTCACATCTCCCATACTAAGCATTTTTTTTTTTTTCCTTTTGCCTGGAAAAAGTTGAATAGATTAAAGGCAGATCTAATCGATCCTGAGTGTGCTTATCAGTGGCTGGCAGGCTGACGAGACGATTTCAGAAAAGCACATTCTAATCCTTCAACTGCAGGCTGGAAGCTGGAAAAAGACAAATAGGTAGAAAGACTTACAGAAAAAAAAGTGTTGGGAGTGACACGCACAGAAAAAGTAGGTTGTAAACAGATGAGCGAGAGGAATAACATTGTTTACAATATTAATATTAGCAATAAGTGTGCGCTCCGTTCTACAGTAAGAGTTGGGCAAGCTGGGCGGAGAGACGATGCAACAGTTGATAGCTCTCCTTCGGCACTATGGAAAAATAGACTGCAGTAAATGACAAGGATGACAAAATATACAGACATAAAATTTGGTCAAAGTATCTGCTATTGTAAGCCTCAACGTCGCCCTTTAAAAATGTATATCAATCGGACATAAATGAATTTAAGCTCTTTATGCGTCTGGGTTTTTTTCCTGGATTATACTTTGAAGTCCATATGAAATTTGTCCCCATTGACATCTATTGATTCAGCTGCTAACTTATCATGATTCTTGGTTTCAAAAGGCTTTAGCCACGCTGAGTGCTGATTGGATGTTTAACCTTTTGACCCCCAAAGAAGGATTTAAGCACATATCCCATAATAGGAGGCATTCATCCACATGACCTCTCCTGTCACAGCAACAACTCGGTGGCAGACAAACTGGCAAAAAGATCCTGTGTGTGTGTGTGTGTGTGTGTGTGTGTGTGATTCTTTTAGCTTTTTAGAAACTAAAAGGCTTATCTAAGCAGTAAGGTCACATTCCCCCTCCTTCTTCTCTCTCTGTCATTTACCTTACCTCTCTCTTCCAGAATAGTACCATCTCTTTCTTTTTCATAGTGCCCCTGAAAAAAAACCATCAAATGTATCTTCCTGTGTGTGTAGCTGCAGCCGTAGCCGGGCTTTTCATCTCAATCCTTTCAATCTGTATTAAGGTTTACACCCAGAGAAATGTACGGAGAGAGTATTAGGAAACACTTCCATTATCTACCTTGGCTATTTGTAATGTTATGACACGAGATGATGTAAATCTTTCCCTCATTCAAAATGTTGATGTTTGGTCAAATTAATCGTGTCTGCAGAGCTGCACATTTAACCTGCACAATCCCAAAACGACAGCTTCATTAAGATACACATATTTAATAAAACACTTGAGATTTAAAACGTCAAGGATCAGTTCACACTTCTTTTTACACGTAAGTTTAATTCTCATTCTCAAGACGCTCTCTTGCTGCTCCAAAATTGCTTCGGCTTTGTTTGCATGCAGATCATGTATGCAGCACATTCATTTTACTTGCCTTGCTGATTTCTCCTGCATAAACTACAGCAAGTGTAATGCTTACAGCAGCATCATTGTAGATGAAGTGAAGCTGCAGTGTAATGATTCCAGGATGAGTTACTGAACAAATAATTCCCCCTGAAACGAGAGTGTGCTTCTGCCAAAGATTTTTTATGAAATCACATCAAAACTTAAAAAAAACAGGCTTTCTGATCTACTTATGATCTGATATGCTGTGTGCGAGAGCCTCAAAAAGTGGGCCAATCAGGTCACAAGTGCTCCTCTTAGCAGTTGTGCCTTATTTCTCGTGTTTGTTTGTGATGGTTCCAAATTTGGAGCACAATGGGATCATGAGCAAGAACAACATGATTTCAACAAGAGATGCCAGTAACATCTTCAGTAAAAGGGAAGGAGGGTAGATACTTTTATGAATGTTCTTTAAAGAAAATGTATATGGTTCAAGCTCTGGTTAATTTCACAGCTATAAATCATGTCGATAACCTACAGAGATGTTTTTGACATTTTGCAAAACACGACAAAATTAAATGCAACACCTACTGTTAACACACCAAGGAGAAAATATAAAGTGCAGCAGTCTCATTCGTGCATACGATCAATACATAAAGATGGTGCAACACCTTGCTGATTTGCCTTTCTTGGGAGTTTAAAGCAAAGAAGAAAATGTTTTTTGTTTTTTTTGTTTTTTTAATGTAGCTATCAGGGTCATACATCTTTAAAAAGTGACACTGATGGGTGTCTGGGAGGACAGATAAGCAGCAAGAAGATTCCTTTTCCACAGATTTACACAAACACAACCCACACACACACACACACACACACACACACACAGAGAGAGTGAGTTTTAATGCCCTCTACCAGTATTGATTACCCAGCAGTCTGACTGATAGAGGGCTTGATATAGAAAAACACACGTCAATAAAATAGCAAGAAAAACCTGGCGAGAGTTTTAAAGACGCTGCCCATTCCCACCCATCCGCCCGCTCAAACAAACACAAACAGCTACTGTGTGTCTAAATTATTCCAGATTCCAGAGGTCCAGTGAGCTGCAGAAAGTGACAGTTTGAGAGGCCAGGATGAAGTCTAATAATCCCAGGACTCTCAGACATTTAAGGATGTTTGTCTCCAATGCTGTTAATAACTCAATGTTCATATATACAGATCTTTGATTAAAACCAATTGCTGCTTTTTGGGTACAAAAATGTACAACATTTGATTTTGACTCTATCAGCTTTTTCTCCATTCATTCTACGCTGCTGTCTTGATGGGATATCAGAGTTTGTGTTTGTGTGTTACTGCTCGTGTACTTCAGGAAGTCGTGAGGCTGCAGTGAGGCTGGCAGTGGGTGTGATTAATCAGCTTATTACCTGTTGAATGCGTGGCCACTTAAGAATGACAAAAAGGCGGATTTTAAGCTGCAGACAGGCTGTTAGCTGGTTGGTGGTGGATGAGATGGCAGATGGGCGGATGAATCATCAGAAAAAAATGGCAAGAAGCTGCATATCGGGCTTCTTTTGAAACATCAATCCTTTAATGGAACCCTCACGGATAAAAACGACCGCCCTTCCCTCCTCGCTCGCTCATGCTGCAATCGCTCGTCTCTGATCATTTCCAAGAGAACAGAAACACGCTCACGACAAATGCTGTTTGGACGCTGACTGAAGCTTTCACCCTCTTCCCTGGAAGTCTTTTGTAGTATTTGCAGTGTTGTGGTTTAAGCTTTATACGACTCTTGCACTCAGCCTTGTGCCACTCTGAATAAGAGCATCAGCTTAATGCCTAAAAACGAGTGTGAAGAAGATTACATCAGAAGTTTTGAAGACCGACTCGTTGGGCTTTCAGCTGCTCACAAAATCCAAAGTGAGAGGGTTTTTATATTTTTCACTCTCTTTTTATTGCCAGGGAAGTCAGTGCGTGAGCTTTGATGAAACTGCTGTGTGGATTGACACTTGAGGGTTGGCCTATTTGCTGTTTTATTTCACCAAATAAAAATCTACCGTACTTAAAAGCACCGAAAAGACCTGACAGTAGCATTACATTATAACGTTAAATTGGGTGTTGCTGGCATTCATGTGCCTTTTTTTAATGCCTTAGGAACTTACTAAGATTGGCGAATAGTTCACCTGTCATGTTTGAACTTTGATACCCTGGAATCTTAAAAAGGCCATGCCACAAACTCTCACATGTATCTATTCAAGGGTCTATTTAAACATAAGCACAAAAAAGGAAGAGCAAAACAATATATATTTTTTAATCTCTAGAAGTGTTAAACTGATGATTAGGACTACTGTTTGACAACAGGGAGCCAAAGTTTAACAAAAGTCCCTTTCACACTTCATCACCTGCCTTTTTTTCTGGATATTTCCAGGACATTCAGACCGAGTTATTTTCAGGATCTGGCCTTAAACATTTGTATCCCGGCAGATTATTAGCCAAGGCTATTGTCAAGACTAGCCTCTTAATTACAGCCAGCTACTTTTTTCTATTGTTGATTTTTCTAAGATATTTTGACTAACAAGTTACGACACGCTCTCCCTGTACATTTTACAAGCATGTATATATATATGATACTCAATCATGAGAAAGTAAATGTCCCTCTGTGTCAACCCTGCCCCTCAGTGTTTTGGTGTGACCGTTCAGCTGGAAGCAGACTTCAGTGTTTGACAAATATCAGCAAAAGAGATGGTAATCCTCAATACCATATAACAAGAATGCATCTTGATCTTGAGCATATTACTAACATTCAGCACCCTGACGTGTTCTATCACAGTTCAATGACGTTCTCACTTTGACACGTCAGGGTTATATGTTTGATAGAAAAGCTTCCGGACCTCCCGACCTCCCGACCTCCCGACCTTTCCCCTATGGCTGGCTACTCTGTATGTCTGTGGATAGTCCAATTATCTGTGTCGGACAAGCTCTCACAACAGCAGGTGGAGGTCAAGGAGGATAGCTGTGTAGCAAGGAGAAGCAAATGTACCTTATTTCACTTGGCAAATACGGTGAACTTCTTGGAAGCTCCGCTCTGCTGTAGCATATTTTGTGTCCAAATCTGTCCTACATGTTTGCAGATATAACAACCTGCACAGATGATGAAGTCATCATCAGAGCTTTGGGAAAACTGAGAGAG